GTTGTACATTCTTTCATTTTACAATTTTTCATATAAGAAATACATACTGTATGTTTCTTTTATTAGTGAAATGATGATGGGTGGATGCACAGACGGACGGACGGATAGATAGATAGATAGATAGATAGATAGATAGATAGATAGAGTCTTTCATAAAATGTAAAATTATAGATTACTCTCATATGCCAATAAATAAACTGAAAAAATAAATATCTAATTCATCAATCTTTCTTTCTTTCTATATAAAACTCAAGACAGACTTTGTAAGCTCAGAGAACTGCTGGAATAAAGTTATTCAGTGAGTGAATGCAGCGAGTGAGGCCGGACACAAGGGATGAAGAAGAAAGTGAAATGGCATGCTGCCACGGCAACAACGCCGACAACCTCCGCAGGACAAATCAGCATAGGGATTGGCTGGTTAAGACTTCATCACGTCCAATAAAACTCCCTAAGACACAGCTGTGGATGACAGCTCGCTTAATGACATGATGCAATAATCGGAAAGTTTATTTGCATAGAGTGAACAACTTGCTCATCACACCTGATCTAAGCGTGTATGTGTGTGTGTGTGTTCATACTGATTAAAAACTCGAGTGATCTTCACATTTTTCCCCATTTCTCTCCTCCCATCTGATCATGTTTTCTGTCTCTTGTTCTCTTGCTTTGCTTTCATCTGTTTCTTGTAGTTCCTCAAGCTGCATGTTGCCCTATAGATTCCCATCTACAAGTGTGTGTGTGTGTGTAACAGAAAAACACTAAAAATATGCACAAACACATGGTGAATTCAGGTCATTTTTAGCCCTGGAATCAAAGGAAATAAATAAGAAATATTATTTTTCTTAAAGAAAATAAAACTTTTTTTTTTCTGTTTGAGTGTTTTTTCTCACTCTGACAGTATTCTGACAAACATGCCAATACTCTCAATGTCAAAATTACAAATTGTAGTCCATTACTGATTACTAATTACATGACGGAAATTGTAGTTTGTAACACAATCTATTAGATTACGCATATTTGGTCATTTATTCTGACTACTTTTTAATTTCTTTTAGATTACTTTTGATCTAAAAAAAATCTATCCCATTCTTTATTAACATCATAAAGTGTATTCAAAATTACATTACTCCAGTTTCCCAAACTGGGGGTTGTGAATAAACGGCAGGGGGTTTGTGAGTTGATAAAATCATAAAATATGTTAAACAAATTAACTCATTTTAAAATAAAAACAATAAAAAAACAACACTCAAACAGAAAAAAAAAATTATGTGTTTTAATTTTAATCGAGAAAAAGGAAGAATAATTTGGGTGAATAAATAAATTATGAATAATGTACTGCCATTGTGTGAATATGTAATGTAATTAAAAACAATTAACTGTTGTCTATTTAAATATCATAGAAGTAATTGTTGTACAGCCGTTCATTTTAAAAATTCACATTACTATGATGCATAAAAATATTTACTTTTTAAAATGAAATTATAGATAGATAGACAGATAGATAGATAGAGTAGAGAGAGAGAGAGAGAGAGAGAGAGAGAGATAGATAGATAGATAGATAGAGAGACAGATATAGATAGATAGATAGATAGATAGATAGATAGAGAGAGATATATAGATAGATAGATAGATAGATAGATAGAGAGACAGATATAGATAGATAGATAGATAGATAGATAGATAGAGAGAGATATATAGATAGATAGATAGATAGATAGAGAGAGAGAGAGATAGATAGATAGATAGATAGATAGATAGATAGATAAATTAAAGTATGCACAGCTTCAGCATTCAAATGAAAACTGATGTTCTTGAGTCTAATTCTCACAAAATCCCACAATTAAATGTTCAGTATCCACTTCAAAAGGAGAATATCTTAAGAAAATAGGACAAAACATGAGGGGAAGAGGTGGAACTAAAAATACACATCTGAAAATCGCAGCAGTTGTCAGACCGAATGCGATTCTCTCCTCGGCTTCTTTCTTATCATGAAGAGCCTAACGCGCGGTGACAAGAAATCACATTGTAGCAGGACAGATAGAGCGTGTGCATTGTGAAATATTTAACAGAAGTGCATTAGCATCAGACTGCAGGATGTTGTGTAAGTAATGTGTGAGAGAGACAGCAGCCTAGCGGACATAAAACAGCTAATTGTCCTCCACCTTCCTTCTTGTCATCTCTCTGCATCTCGGAATATCAGAGATCACAAAAACATGACAGTGTGAGAAGATTCATAAAAACCTTCTCATGATCTTCTGCCTGCGGCCACAAGTTTTATTTATAAGCCTCTCACCTCTCTCTGTCTCTCACTCTACCCCATCTCTCGCTTTCAAATGGAGAGTTAGACTATGTGATGCTTTCACATTTATTATTTTATTGATTTTTATTCCGTTTTCTTAAATGGAATTTTAATGAATAGGTCATTGTTCAGTTATAAGGTTACTGTTTTGTCCCAAATTAATAAATGCATTCAAAAAATAAAATATAAATACTTCCATCTCTTTGTAACTAAAATTAGTTATTTAAAAAAAAAATGTGTTTGAGTTTGCTTTCAGTTTTGTTCTGTTTTATTACTGTTTTGCCCCAATTAAATGAAAGCATGTGAAAATTAAAAAACAAAATACTTCCATCTCTTTGCCTCTTCATAATTAGAATTAGTTATTTAAAAAATGTGTTTGTGATTGCTTTCAGTTATTTTTATTGAGTTTTCTTCTTTATTACTGTTTTGCCCCAGTTGTGAATAAATGAAAGCATGTGAAAATTCAAAAACAAAATTCTTTCCATCTCTTTGCCTCTTTGTAATTAGAATTAGTTCTTCATTTTTAAATGTTTTTAATTAATAGTTAGTTACATTTTTAGACTAGATTTTTCTTTCCTAAATTAAATTTTTATTATTTGATGTTATAAGATGTTTTTTTTTTTTTTACAAATTGTATAAATAAACGAGTGTGGAAAATCATAAAAATATCTGTATATCTCTTATAAAGATTTTTTAAACAGAGTTAAATTGCTTTCACATTTATTTATTATTTTTACATTATTTTTTTAATTTTCTTATTTTTAATTAAGTCATGTTATAGAGCGATTTTTCCCCCAATATGTACATAAATAAAGAGTGCGTAAAATTCCCAAATTCTCTCTTGTTCTCAATTTCTGTCTCTTTCTTAGCCTGCCTTTCACTGTTTTTGTCCATATCTCTATTGCTTTTGTCTCTCTCTTTCTGTAATTCTTGATGAGAAATGGCTTTTCTAATCACTTGCGCTCTTTACAAGAGAAATGAACCTCCAGGACTATTCGGTTCAATGTCTTTTGTCAAATACCGTGTCATGTGCAGTGAATTTCACTTCTTATCATTTACTGAAATATGAGAAAGGCCTTCCTGCTGTTCTCTGCACATGAATGCCAATGAAAACATTCAGGAAACGTCTGTTTATACACTGATCAGTGGGAGTGAGATCATCTAGAATATTCAACAAGCAAAGTAGTCATATCTTTATTAATATTGTAATGATTTGTATGTTTTTGTTTTCATTTGTTTATGTTTTTGTTATAAGCTTATGTTGTTTTTTTTATATTTCTGTTTAGCTTTCATTTATTTTGATTTCAGTAACTTTAGTACTTTAAAGGGGTCATATGATGCTTTTTTTAAAGATCATTATTTTGTGTATTTGGTGTAACAGAATATGTTGACATGCCCTCCCTTCTTTCTTTGCGTGCACATTTGGGCGGCGTTATGCAAATATTTCCACATAGTGAGGTAGATATGTGGGGGCGTGTTAGAACGAGCCGTTTTAGGGAGGCGTGGCAGAGTCTTAACTTTGATAAAGTATATCTCTTTGGTTTTGAGACTTTAGTCTTTGCAACTTCAGGGATCTTATCTATGCACAATCAGCTTGTAACACTCCAAAGAGAAAGGAAAACTTGAAATCGCATCATATGACCCCTTTAAGAAACGCTTGTCTATACGCTGACCAGTAGGAGAGAAAATTCAACAAGCAAATGAGTTATATTTTTAATAATATTTGTTTTGTTTTAGATTTTATTTGACATTTCTGTAATTTTGTTATGTTCTTATGTAATCTGTATTAAAAGTTCTGCTTTTGAATATTTATATTTAGCTTTAATTTATTTTTATTTCACTTTTAGTAGTTTTAGTACCTCAAGAAATGTTTATCAATACGCTGACCAGTAAGAGAGGGATCATCTAGAATTTATTATTATTATTATTATAAATAATTTTTTTACATAAATATTTTAATCTTTTTTTTTTTTAGTTTAGTTTAGTTTTTTTGTTTGTAATTTTGTTGTTTGCTTATGTCATTTGCATTAGTTTTCTTGTTTTTAAAATATTTCTGTTTGGCTTTTTTTCTTTCAGTTTTAGCAATTTTAGTACTTCAAGAAACATTTGAGTGAGATCATCTATGTCAACATGCAAGTTAGTAGTATTTATTAATATTTGTTTTATCATTTTTAAGTTTTCATTTGAATTTAATTTTAGTTTAAGTTCTAGGAATTTGGTTATGTGCTTTTGTCATTTTTATTTTTTGTTTTTCCATTTAGCTTTCTTTTTTATTTTAATGCATTTTTATTTTAGTACTTAACTTATTTGCATTTTAACTTGACTTTTTCATCTAATATTTATAGAATTTTTAAAATTGATATCAGTTATATTTCAATTACTCAAAACAGTTTTAATAGTTTAAATTTTTGAGATAAATACAGCACTGATCTGAACTCAAAAAAAACAATCACTGGCGGATGAATAACACAAAGTAAACATTCGACTGTAAAG